GCCTGCTTATCACATTTGTTTCCAGGCAGGAAAGCTTGAGCCGGCCAGCAGGCAGCTGCATTCAGCGTAGCAATCCTTACTCGCGTAGCAATCATTCAGCATAGCAATCCTTATTCGCGTGATTGCCCCAGGCTCCTCCTTCCCTCATGTACCCAGCTCGTTTCCTGGGCCTAGCACACTGCATCCGCTGCTGTTTACTTTGATGGCCAGAAAGCAGAACTGCATGTGCAGGGGCAACTCAGCTCTGTTCTCCTCACTCTGCTGCTGTTGAGACCTTCTGCTGAAAAGAAGGGAGGAAAAGGAGGAAAAGGAAGATGTGTATTAAGATTTTTACTTGAGTGTCCCAGCAAGAATTTAAGCTGACTTGCATCATCTCTCTACTCCAAGATGGCTCTTCCTAAGCACCTCACTCCCTATTCCTGCCTTAGAAACTCACCCAGGTGCTGTGTACCCTTGTACACAGACGGCACAGCAAGCACTCTCAGAGACAAGAGTCATTTTTACTTTTTTTAAGCTTATGCTGAAACTATGCCTCGCAAGCTGTCTGAGCTGAAAAGAGGCACTGGCCCTTTTCCTCTCTGGTGCTATCTCAATTGCATGTAGCAGTTCTCAAGAAGCTGGGGCCAGAACAGAGATGGTGACTAAGTGTTATTAATGGTGAAGTAACTGCACTGTGCAGCCTGGGGCAGGGGAGAAGCCCTGGCAGCTCTTCAGTTCAGCTCCACCCTACCCACAGCTGAAAGTCCAATCCCCTGCAGCAAACAGAGGCTACTGAGTTAAAAGTGGCTTGACCGTAATCTGGAGCCAGGCACTTGTTCTGGCCTCTGCCTTTTCCTGCCTGCCCCACACCTTCTTATTCCTCATCCAGAGAACTGGTGGGTTTGAAGTTAAGAGTGAGAAACACCTGTGTTCTCTGTGCTCAGGAGAAATGCTCTTGATGCAACACGCTTACTTGGATGTCTAAAAGCTGAAAGACAAGGAACATAGACATTAATTCTTCTAGCTGTCCATTATTAGCACGGGAAAAAAGGTTCTCTTCAGAGACTTGTGTTTCCTCTTCCATGTTATGCAAAGCTCCCCTTACCCCTGCATTCAAGGGCCAGAGAAGGGAACACAAAAGAACAGGCTGGTGAATCCTGCCCTGGGACAGGACCACATACAAGGCAGCTCTCAGGATGGGGTGTGCTCACCTAACCAGAAGAAACATATATGTCGGGAGGACTTTATCAAAACTCGTGCTTCTCAAGAGCAGAGGCAACTCGGGACTCCTCAGTCTTGTGTCAACTCGGGGGCACATCTTTCACAGACCTTGGGCACTGTATGTCCATGACCAGCCCACAAGTGAGGCAGTGTTGTACTGGGACTAGAAACCAACAAAAAAAGCCAACAGGGAGATCGGGCCCAGTCAGCATGGATTCATGAGGGGCAGATCCTGCTTGACCAATCTAATCTCATTCTATAACAGGGTGACCTGCTTACTGGATAAGGGAAAGGCTGTGATGTACCTGGACTTCAGTAAGGCCTTTGACACTGTCCCTCACAACATCCTTATGGCTAAGCTGGCTGTGGTCAGACACTGGAACAGACTGCCTAGGGAGGTGGTTGAGTCTTCATCCCTGGATGTGTTCAAGTGTCGTTTAGATCAGGTGTTGGGTGGTATGGTTTAGGGGTGAACTTGTAGTGTAGAGTCAATGTTTGGACTCAATGATCCCAAGGGTCTTTTCCAACCTGAATTGTTCTATGATTCTACGAAACACGGAATTTTCCCCAGTTTGCTCTGTGCCTCAGTTGCACCAGATAAAAATTGGTTACGAATGCTTTCATGGACATCTCAGGTTCTTTAGATTAAACAAACACTATGTAAAAAGCTAAACATGCATCATGCAGAGATGTCTTTAAGATGTGAAAAATTATTCCCGTGCCTTTTCCCAAAGAATTAGACTAATCACAGCAAATCGCAGTGCCTGTGTTACACGATATACCACCTTAGGGAATTGAGCCAGGTGTCAAGCACAGAATAGCGGAGATTTGCCAGCTTCAAGCCACGTGAAGCTCTGCTCAGCAGAAGCAGAAATGCTCTCATTTGAGATTTTTCCATTTAAAAAGACATTATGGACTCCACATGTCCTAAAGCCCAATGTAAAACAAAAAAAGCATCAGACCTACATAATTTCCACTTTATCTCTAGAAACTGGAACAAGTGCTTAAAGGCAGAAAGCAAGATCTGTTTCTGGACTTCATGTCTCTGCTCCTTACCCTCTGCTATTTATCAACTTTTAGTATTTCAAAACCAAAATAAGACCCAGACAAGGCAACACATTGTGCCATTTCCTTCATGTAACTGCATGAATTAACGGCTATGAAAGCAGAAACCATCAAAAACTCCAGAGAAGCCCCTAGAGTTTTCTCATTTCCAAAAATAAAATGAAACTACTAGCTGCAATGAAGTTTTTAGTTTAGAATTTTGTAATCAAAATACATATAGGAAACTTTCCCATGCTGTCCAAGGGAAATATTTTCAAAAGGAAACCAATTCTCATGTGGTACACCTGATGAAAGAGGAGAAGAGAAAACAAAGGCTGCAAGCTCTTCTCTTTACTTCTGTGCTTACCCCGGTCTGTGGCCCAATATCCTTCTGCTGCCATTTAAAACAAAAAGGAAGAACGTGAAAGGCCCGGAAATAAAGGAAGCACCAGAAAGTCATTGGCAATAAAACACACCGCACTCATAAAGCACTAGGGACTAGATGATAGCAGCCTTTCTGCGATCTAATACAATTGAAGAATAAAGGTCAAATGAAATCCTAAAACTTTCTCCATCTGATATGAAGCGTCAGACGTGCCACCACTAGGGACAGCTGCGCTTTGTTGCTTGGTCTAGAACACGCAAAAAAACCCCAGACCTCGAGCAGTAACACAGTTTCTCAGCAACTGCCTTCAGTTTTACACTAGCCTAAGGAGTTGCAGCAAACACACTTCCAGGACACCCCAACCGCAGCTCCCTTTAAGCGATGAAGCACCGGGTAAGCCCAGTCTGAGCTGTAGAAGGCTGCAAACCCTCAGTCAAAGGCTGTGGAGGAGCTGCTAGGAGGGTGTCTAGAGGCACTCGGGAACGTTCCTGCCCTCCAAGAGGAGCACAGAGCACTCAGACGTTGCCGAAAGCGAGCTCTGGCACCAGACCAGGCACATTAGTGCAAGGGGCACCTAGGCCAGTTGGCTGTGCTGAGAGAAGGGAGTTACTGGTTTGAATGTACTGCTCTGCTCCTGCAGCCACATGGATTTTGGGAGCCAGGCTGGAGCTCTGCACAGTCCTGGCGCTTCAGGTGGCCACGAGCTGGGTGCTCTGTGCTACAGACACTGCTTTATGGGGCAACAGTTCGATGGAGTCACTAGTCCCGACTCTGAAGCCAGACTTGTCAGCCTCCTGGACCTGAGTTCTACCGATCTCAAGGAGATTCAGATTTCACTAACAATGCAAAGGAATGCCAGCAGTATTTCTCACCTCACAGAGTGTTTTTTAGACTAGAATACAACTAGATGACTCAACTTACAAACAAGCAATTACTTGATAAGAGCAGTTTCCAAATTAAGGAAACCAGATGATAACTCAAAAGGTTAATTCCAATCTCATGTTCCAAAAGGGAATCTCAGATGTCATGGAACATTTGAAGCAACTGTTAGCTTGGAGGAAGCCAGGAGCAACATCATTAATGTGTGGGCACTATGGCTATGTAGCCCGTCCCAGCCCTGGCATTCTTGCCCCTGCATGAGTCGGGGAACTTCTTCAAAGCAATTTTAACTGTTATTTCACAAAATACAGGACTATAAACCTTCTTCAGCGTTAACACTGGAAAAATAAATTGCAGAAGTGTCAATGAGTATTTGAACAGCTCTTCTTTTTAAGATTTTTTAAAAGAAACTCCCCTTCAGGAGAAAAAAAAAAAAAAAACAAAAAAAAATTTCTTCCTTCTCATAAAACTGAACTGACTGAAAGGATATGGCCTGGCCTCTTCTAATGCCCCACCACATCAATACATTTAGGGGCAAATTTAAGAGTTAAAAAAAGAAAAATACTAAAACAACTTTAGTCAAAATCTGGCTTGAAGACTTGCAGATATTTTTTTCCCCAGACTTGCATTTTTCTTTAATCTCCATTACAAAGATTTTTACCTAGATTTACTACAACATAAGGAACAGATACATAAGCATTTCCTCAGTTGTAAATTTTATTGTTAAATGTTAATAATAAAATGATGGCTACTTTAAAAAGTCCAATAAAAATAACGTAAAGACATGGTCATTATAGTAGTATACACATAACACACTTGTATCACAGTTTTCTGTTGTATCAAGAGAGCATACTTTACTACACAGCAAATAAAGATTCTGATTTCAACTTCAAATAGCCACTTTATATTTACTATAAAAATATTAAACGAGATGTTTAAAAAGCAATCCTCAAAACCAGATGTAACCTGATACGTTAACTGCACAGAAAACAACTTCTGGGAACAACTGTAAACCACAGAAGGAACAAATTATTTCTGATGCGAATTCTTATCCAGCAGGAACAGACCGGCTTCCTAATCTCCAAGCTGCTTTTGAACATTCCCTGATCTCAGTTTTTCTTTATTTTTTCATTCCTGTATCTCATGTGAATACACGTTCCAGAAAGTTTCACAGGCAATTTCTAAAACTTCCTGTCTTCAGCATATCTAAACCAGTATCAGATGCTCATCGGTATGGCTACAACAGTCTGAGTTTACAATCTTGTGAAAGATTTATTTGGTGAAAAGGCCTAATAATGTCACAGCAGCATGTCCAGTTCAGAAACTCATTCCCAGGACTTCCTGTAGCGCTCTGTACAGCACAAATACGAACCTTTTTATACTGACATGAAAGCACTTCAGAGTTAAACTATGCATCTGAACTACTGCAACCTAACTGTGATTTATAAAAAAAGAAAAATAAAAAAAATAGAGGACTTGAGTGTCCCTTCCTTTATGTAACGTGCATTGACAATGCAAACCAGCCTTCTTCTTTTTGCTTTTCCACCTACAAGAGAAAAAAACCAAATAGCTGAAATTCATACATCAATCTTCCCTCAGACTTACTAGTTAGTGCTGGCTTGGGCAGGGCTGCAATGTATCAGTTCACTGATACACAGCAATTGTCTGCTGTTGGCACCATCAAGGGAGTCATATATCACTTACTATAGACAACTAGTTTAAGCCACATCTACCTTAAGTATTCCAAATTTCCCCTCTGGGGATGTACACTCTGCTCTCAGGATAGAGACTCTTGGACCTTAACTTTGCTTCTGTTTATCACTCCTAATTTAGGTTATTTAGGACATCAGGAAAGATAATTAATCTCATCACGGTTGCTTTCAAGCATATGAACAGATCTATACCTGGTTTACCAGACCATACCACTGCCTGGCACTCCTCATGAAAGCATCTTCCTGTAGTCTATTCTTCTCTTTGCACAACAGGAATCAGAAACCTAGGCTGAGGATTCTTCTTTGCATTTGGATTTATTTATTCTTGAGCAACTGACTTGTGCAATGGCTAGCTAAGAGCTCACTTGCCTCTTACAGGTAGCTCTACAAGTACATCATAACAATGACTTGAAATTCTCTGGAACTACCAAGGAAAGGCTGCCAGAGGTTCACAGCTCTAACGCATGCAGATGCCACAGCAGAAAATGCAGCTACAGGATTATTCACTTGAAAATAGCAGCTCTATGGCACCAAACAGCAAATGTCACTAGTACTCAGGTCTGCCCTTCCCAACTGTCCAAAATCCAAACTGCCACGAATCAATTACTATTAGCGTCTGTAGATTTAAGGTGGGAAAGAGCTCTCCCCCCTCCTTTGTTTGTCTTGCTTTTTCCTTACATGACACTGGAATCACGCGTTCTGACTAAAGATTTTTCAGTCTTACCTTTGGTCTTTGGCTGACAGGAGTCAATTTCACACTTTCTGATGTGGCACTTAGAGGTGAACATGGTTTGCTAGAGTCTCCTAAAGACCTGCAGACATTTAAAAAGAGACTGAAAAAGTGAAAAATGGAAGTGCCTACTAGAATCACATCTCAGATCCCAAGCCAGGACCCCTCATCAACAGTCTTCAACAACCCATGTCATCCATTTTATGTCACGTTGCAGGTAATTAAATATAAAAAAATGGAAGCTGTGAAACAGCTACTGGATCTTTGTCCCATTTAAACAGAGTTGAGTACAATGAAGTTGGGGAAAGTCCATGAAGGCAAAGAAAGACACGGCGATTTTTCCACAGTGTTTAAGTTCTGTTGTGTGGGTAACCAAGACACTACAAAAATGAAATAGTAAAGGGTTAACTTTTACCTTATTATACTGCTCATACTGGCTGGGGAAACACTGTCTTCTTTCGAAGCAACTGCTGTGGGAATAGACACTTCAATTGTCCTCCTTGCATTTTCTAGACAATAAATGATAGCTTGAGTCTGATGAGAACACAGCAACATTCCACACCACTCGCTTCATTTTCCCATTTTTTGAGGGGGCATCACAACTCTTTACAATTGCACAGAATATACAGATCAGGCATAAAACATGAGGCTAAACATCAAACCCATATCCATTTTCTGAAAATGATAGATAATGAAAGCAGATACTCAAAGCAACTGTGGACAACGTGCACGGGTATAGAATGATTCTTCCACAGATAAATGTTCTGTTGTTTGGCAATCAGAAGCTTAAAGACCTCCCAATTCTTTACTTTGTTAAGATTTTACTTATTGTGCTAAATTTATATTACAACAGCTGTAGAACTGTTAAAAGTGTTACGATTGCAGTAGGAGTCACTGCATATACACCTGCATGCATATGCACACACCTGTGGTCTCTCCTCTCTCTCCTTCCTTTCCCCCTCAAGTCCTTCCCTTTACACACCCGCTGTGGTTTAGGAATGTGGAAAGAGTTGGTGTCCTAGACAGAATATGTGTACATGCTCACCTGCAGTTCTGCCTGTAATTACAATGACTTCATGAAAAGCTAACACAGCCATTCACCTGCTGGAGAGTATTTTTGTTTATAGTTCCAACACATGGAAGCTAATCTACAAATCTTGAATCGACAAGAATATTCTTTTTGCTGATTTACCTCTTCAGATAACTGGAAGCTTCAGTTATTTCCTTCTATTAATGCTAGCAGTAACTCAGCAATGTAGTCTGATGGAAGGAGCAGCGAAAAGACCAAGAACGAAAATGCGGTTGAGAATTGTACAACCACTCTGCCATCATTTTTAGAAGCGTGATGTAAATACTTAACTGTTTTATAAAAGATTCTCCAGCTGAGAGGACTGACTAAAAAGCCTAGTTCTGCCCATCAGACAAGGACATAGCAAAGAACATTTACCACGAAGCGTGGTATTTACAGCAGACTAATTACTAAGAAACTAAGTTCAGGAGAAGTTTAGCTTATGTATTTTTAGTTCTCCAAAGTAAGGAGTGTTCGTACCACACAGTCATTAACAGCAAGCGTTACTGCCGACCACAACCACTGACCCAATCAGAGAACTTTCAAAAGGGGAAAAAACGCCATCATCTTACTAGTTTTTGTCTCTCCTGAACCTGGGCACTTACCAGTATAATTTAGGGATGGGGGCAGAACAGGAGATATCGGAGGGACCGTACTGGCAGCAGCTAATTTCTGTTGGTCTATTAGCTGCAAGAGTTTATCACGTGCTTCTGTACTCTGATGATTCAGCTCTGCTATTCTTTCCTCCAAGCTCTTCGATACCACCAGACGAGTCTACTCGAATAATTGGATAATTACTTCCAATTAAAAACTTAACATTTGCACCTTCAAGGAGAGCATACAATATATTTCAAGCACTTCTATGCATTTTATTTTCAAACTGAAAGTAAATGTAATTACATAGCACCTCCTGCGAAAAATCTGATTTTGTCCCTTACACTGTCCTGTGTCTAGGCCCTTAATTGACTATACAGAACAACATTTAAAGTGGTCTTCCTACAAATAGAAGAAAACCCAAACCAGTTATTGTGTGTATCATTTAAGAAAAAAAACAACCAAAAACCAAAAACCAAAAATCAACCAAAGCAAAAACCATCCAGCAGTTAACCCTAATTAAGAAAACAGTTAATCAGGAGGGTGTGCGGAAGCAAAAGCAGATCTTTAGCAGAAGAATTCTGGAACTCATCTTTAAAGCAGGTTTTCACCCACTTTGATCCTCTCCCTTCCTGCTCCAGTAATTGCTTCCACAAAACAACATTTTAAAAAGTTGGCATTATTTTATACAACTAAATGACTAAATATTACACAATATAATAAAACGCGGAAAGCAGCAACACTCTCAGCCTATATTTACATGAGGAAACTTAAAATCTTCAGGATCCTTAATTGAACGGTAACTCAGCCACTGTGCTGAACAAAAGTAAAGATAGCAGCAAGGGCAATGATTAGGCATTTCTGTGATGTTAACTCCACTCACTGGGGTGACACCGAATAGCTGCAGATTTGAAGTTTTCTAGGTGAACTGAAGCCTTCATATTCTCTCTTCATCAAAGATTTTGGGATTTTCACCCCACAGCAGGACTGACAAGACAGACCCAAGTAGTATGTACACTATAACCAAGAGATCTACCTGCACTAACTTTAATGGGCTTCTGGGTCACAGTAATGGAAGAGAGGTTGGAAAAGACCTCTAAGATCATCTAGTCCAATTGGATGTAAGGCATGGATTTAAATATGTATTTTACAAGCTTCCTAATAACCTCTGGGTTGATGCAGCACCTATCCAAGCTACAAGAGGTACACCTGATTATGTTTGCAATCACACCACTTTTTGCAGCATAACCTTGTCCTAAACTTGTAAAGTGCTGCACACTTCAGCACTCGTATACAACATAAGCCTAAGATGAGAAACTACTGTTGAGGTCCTTAGAGAATGAAAAAAATTACAAGTCTCCAAGTAAATGAACAAAAAGAATATTTGTTCTTCTGCTCTTTTCCTTAAAACAACAGAGAAGAAACAGTATTAAAATATCAGTAAGCTATGGGAAACCTGATCAGCAGAAAGAGGAATCCAGCCTTCATTTTCTGTTAAATTCTCACCTGTCGCTGCAAAGAGTCTGGACTTGGATTTGCACTTTGTATTGGGTCTGGCTGATGTAGGCAGTCACTTGTGTCTTCAGAGAAGCCTCTCAATCTGTTCAGCTGAGCTTTAACTAGAGAGTTCTGCCGTGTGAGCTCTGCTATCTGTGCCAGCAGGTCACCATTTTGAAATAACTCTTCAGCTGTGTTGTTCTTTCTAGTGTCACCTGGGCAGGACAGATTGATTTGCTCGTGGGAACTCTCCAAGCCTTTATCTGCAGGAGTAACTGGTTGACTTTGAGAGATGGGACAGTTTTCTTCAGTTGTGTTCTGTGTTCTCAGTGAGGAAGGTGAGCTCCTTTCCTTGCACGGTTCTCTTTCGGTGTTTTCAGGAGACTGAGAAACAGCTGTAAAAACTACAAACAAGAAAAAAAAACAGTAAGAAAACAGACACATGATCCTCATCAAGGAAAGTAACAGTGACTTTATTGCATCAAGCTAGTAACAATCAAACAGGAACTGGAATTGCAACGTCGTGTTACTGATCAAAACCACTCTAAGCAAGATCCCACTGCAGTAACTCGACAGGTTCAGTATCTCCTACTACAAAGTGCCTTCCATTAAACAATTTCATTAGAGATTGAGAGAGAAGTCAGAGAGAAGAAAATAAATTGTTCTGAATGTCTTAGCTGATAGAACAAACACTACTTAGTTAGTCCTCCATTTCCCAAAATTCAGTGACCTTGCCTAACACACCCTGTGTTTCAGCTCTGATATTTATACTGGGTTGGTAACAAAACTGTTACAACAATAAATCAAAATAATACAAGACTTCCAGAATAACAACAAATTGGCTATTTACTTAGCCTGTAAGAAAATGGAAGCACCCTGGCCAACAGAAGTAATTAGATACTTTTTGTGGTCATCAGTAGCAAACAGATAACAAATCACACACACAACCAAATATGTTACAGCACTGTCAGCTGCTACATGTTAAGTCCAAGTTTGACCTTGTGATCAAAACCAGATTTTCCATGCTTTAGATACCAAATAGCCTATTTCTTCTCAAGCCTTAGCTTTTGCCTCTTGAGCAGACTATGATATTTAAAAATTTATACATAAATCTGTTTTATGAATCATTTTTCATAAAGAATCATTCAAGGAGTTTAATATTTGTTAAGCCATTTAGCATCCTTAACGGTCTTAAAAGAGAAACAACATACTTGCCACACAGTTTAACTATACTGAATTCTAGGAACATACTTTTATATTCTTGTTTCAAACGACAGACAACATCCAATAGTTCTCAACAGGACTGCATCCAAACACTGTTCTTTGCAGAAAGCTACCTTTAGTTCACTTCCTCCTGATTTATCACGCACCTCCTTGCAGCACAGGACCACCAAAAGCCTGAACTCAATGTAAACTTTTAATTGATCTGTTAACTCCTTAAATCAAAAGGACTTTGGGGTTAGTTTTCTAACTTGGAAAATATTTACAAAGCAATGCAGCTGAAAGGGAGAGGGAAAAGGAGGAGGGAAGGTACAGACCCCCACTACTGTGCCTTACTTTCTGTCAGCAACCATATAGCTAGTTATAGATTGTCATTATCCACCTCTCAACAACAGAGGGTTACAGGGGCCCAGCACGTTCAGTAAGTGTATGTGGTTACAATGGCAGCTGCAGGAAGAACTGGCTCATTTTGAGAATCACTAATTTAAATATCAAGTATTCCTAGATCTTTCTCAGCATGTGTTTTGTATCCAGTGTCCATGGATACATGAAGGGTCCTCCCTTCCGCTCACTTCAGTAAGTTTAAATGAGAAATACTTCCCCTAATCAGCCCTGATGAACTTTCTTCCTCCAAACAACCAGAACTGAGCTATCAACCCAAAACACTCCTGAAACTTATGGATACTGACACAAGACCTGAGTCAATCTGGTTATCCAGCACCACATAATTTCACCCAAAACTACTTCTGCTGTTTCCTGTGTGTTAAATGAAGCCCAATGGAAACATGCTCCCAAAGCTTTTAGGAAAAACTTCTGCTGGGAAGATTGTCTCAAAGCAAGAGTATGCAGCCTACAGACATCCTGGTTTATCTGCAGCACAGGCTGCAGGGGCGTTGGATTTCCAGTCTTCAGCAGTTCCACCATTCAAGGTGACGGAAGCAGGATTACACCATCAGCGGACGGAAATCTGACATGATGTGCTGTACGTCACAGACAAAGAGCTACAGCAGATCATAGAGCAGTGAAAATATAAACCAGTATAAAATAAAAATGCCAGTCAGGATTGCTGTTGACAGGAGTGCAGACAATAGACAGAAAACTGAAGGCGACAGAAAGTCTAAAGAAAATCTAGCAAAAAACACAGAAAGTAAAGAAATGCATATCTGAGTGCAGAAGTAGGATATTCCAGCTTTAGAGCCACTGTTTCTAAGCATACAGATTAAAAATGTTTCATACAAAATGCACCTCCAAAGGTAACAATGTGAGACTGAAACAGTAACACACTGGTCTCAAGTCTACTAGAGCCACAGAGATCTCACCCTTCTGGAGAGGAGACAGCTCTTGACTGCTCTTCTGCCGGGGGGGTGACAACAGCACAGCTGGCTGGAAGATGTGAGATGGCAAGCTTCCACCAGCTCCCACAGCACCTGATCTCTGGAGAAACTTGAACTGAAGTTCTTCCTGTGGGACTTGCAGATTGCCTTTGCTGCTGCCTGCATCAGCCCTAGGCTCAAAGTAGCTCGAATCAGGTTTTTCTAAAGAAAGAGACAATGCAGAGGGAGTGTATTTTAAAAAAGGAGAGGGAAAAAACAACAACAAAAAAATAGTTTTAGTACAACTGAGAAAATTCTCAATAACAGCTCCTATGTTCAGGTATCTGAAAAGACAGATTACAGTACGTTCCCACACACTGCTAACCTCCTTCTGATCCCCAGGTACAGAACTCTTTCACTGAAGCATAGCACAAATTTTCACTGGTGTTAAGAGCAAGACGAAGTATTGGACATAGCCTCACAATTTCAGGATATTAGCAAGAGACCTGTTTGTAGCCCATTTACAAGACCTACAGACATGACTTGTGAGGAACAGGTATTTCAGTGAGCTGCATTTGCTAATATTCTCTTGCGAAAAGCAGACCTACACATGTGTCCTAATGAACTTATACCATGAATTCGATGGCAACAATAGTGGAGTGAAAACAATTCAGAGCCTTTTTTGAGCTCTCTGATGATCTTTTTATGACCTAAATCAAATCAGACGCCTCTGCAGTTAAAAAAAAAAATTATTCTGTATTTATCTACAGCTAGCTTGTGCCTACGTTGCCATCTATTTTGAACACACCAGGGAGAAACAAAATAACATGAAATCAAAGTTGAAAGTAGCTGTGTGACCACAGTAATTTTACTGTGCTTACATCTACTGTTCCATCAGTGCTTTCTTTGAATCTTCTCCTCGCAATTTTGTTCAGAGCATTTGTTCCCAGAAGAGAAGTTAGTGGAAAATTAAGCAGAACATACCCGATCCCAAAATGTCAGTGACAAAAAGCAGCCTGCAAATGCAAAGACCCAGAAGAGGCTGTTCACATAAAATACTGCTTGTGGTTCACGTTACTGAGATTCTAAGCCTGAATTTAAAAATCTGCCACCCACCATTCAACGACCCTGTCAAGAAATGAAAAAGACCTTCCTGCTCTGCTTCACTGTACAAAACTGCATTTCCAAGGTATCCTCCTCACACTATTTGTCACTATGATATCCCCGCTACTCCTTGCTCAGCCACTCTTCTCTCCAGAGAAGTCCTATGTCCACTTACACATGGTTTCTTACTAGACCTAGCTATCTCTCACACCCAGTCAGGTGCTTGAAGGATACAACAGATCTCCTTCTGAAGTAGGAAGAAATATTTTTGTAACTTTATGAAGCTTTCCCTTTAGGAAGATGCTTTTTTCCTGTGAAAAGAGACCAATAAAGAAAGAAGATTTGGAAATTCTAACCTGCAGAACTATTAAACAGGAAGGTTTGGAAGTGGGGTCTTTTTGTTGTTGTTTTGGTGGGGTTTTTTGTGGGTTGGGGTTGTTGGTTTTTTTTGAGAGACACCTTTCTGATTGTTTGCATTTTATATTTTGGGTAGGACTTTTTGCTTGCTTCTAACAAAGCCTGGGTAAATCACAAAAAAAAGGGAATTGGCATGTGGCTTCTTCCTGAGAACTCCAGAGAAAACAGTCAGCAATAAAGTTTCTGACCACAAAAATGGCCACAAAACCAACATTTAACTAACAAGGAATACAAATAGCTCTAAGAAATCTTGGGATTCACAAGGAGTTACTGACCTTGAGAGCAAAAATTATGTATTTAAGCGACCTATCGGTGAAGAAAACTGGGGAAAAACTTCATGGTAAAAGAATGTAAAAAACACAAGATGGATCATTATTTATTAAGTCTGGCCAAAAACGCTATTGACTTAGCCTGCATCTTTGTCATGTATCACTCACCTGGTCATTCACCTCTCAGAGAAAGCCACAAACACCAAGAAAAGCTTCTGTCTGGCTAGTGAACAGGCCTCAGCAGCTGCTGCTGCTGCTTCTGGTCTGCAGCGACCTCCAGTGCTTTATAGTAGAACTAATCTCACATTATTAGGCTGCCTGAGCAACAGAAAGGTGGGATCCTGATTCGGTTGAGTTTGTTTAGGACCCTCAGAATAAATATGAATTTGTAAGTCATCTTAATGGGAAAAGGCTACTCCCTTCTCCCTTTAAAAAAACATAATATACTATATATCATTTAAAGCTCAAGCCTAGGACTTGGCTAAAAGGTTAATCCTCAAGTCCTGATCTAGACAGAAGGATGGCAATGGAGATGGAATACAACCTACTATACTATTAAAAAATAATTCGTAGCAAACAGCTTGTGCTCACAGCAGAATTCACAGCATATTAATTTCCTGAAATGAGATTCATTCATGAAGACTTCTATGAAATACCAAGTTTTCCACTACAGGGATAACCAGCCAACAATTCCTATTTCATCCTTCACACACACATGCACACACACCTTGGCCATTCACTGGACCTTTGCTTGCAATTCCAAAATGGTTTGGACTTTGTTCTCTTCTAGGTTCTACCAAAGGGAGACCTTTAAATGCTTGTGTGAGAGAGATCAGCTGCTCCTCTGTTACTGTCATGTATTGCTGAAGCTTCTTCTAAAGGATGAAGAAAAAACAAGAGATACAGAAATCTGTATTCTGGCAACAGGAATTAGATGATATGCCACAGGCAGCTCCAAAAAGAAATTTGCATTCTTAAAGCCACTGCATGAATTTGTAGGTTTCCAGTGAGGTATTAAATACTGGTGTCTCCATCTTTCTCATTTATTTTCTTTCCTGCCTCAAAGAAGTTATTTGGGTTTCCTTTTTCCTAACTTATCACCCCATTTCCTTTCCAATGAAACTTTACTGAAAAAAAAAAAAGTTTTATTATACCTAATCTACTCTGTTGCCCTAGCAGTGTTAATAGTACAGAAGCATGAAGGCAGATGCTTAAGCCTTTAGATTAAGAAAGCAAAGCTCAGTTTAATTGAATCAGCATTTTCTCAGGCTTTGAAGTTAAAAATCACACAAGATAAAATGCTGACTTTCCAAATATTCCTCCCACACACCCCCACTATTATCAGACTCCTCATTCAATTTTATAATTTTATTTCTGCTTATTGTTAAAATCTCCTGAATATACGACAATGCATCTCAGCACACATTTTTCGACACAGCTCAGTATTCTAAAAACTCATTTTGAAGGGGATAGGAGCTCAGTACCTGTATAGTAGTGTTTTCTTCCCTCACTAGAAGTATTTCTGCAGTTAGAGCATCAATCAGTTCCCTGTGCTCATTCAACATCTCCTCATGCTGCTGTCTCATCAGCTCTTTCTCACGCAGCTGCAATTCACTCTAAAGTAGGAGAAAAAGATAAAAACCTACTATAACCAACACGGAGTCATATTTGGAAAGTGGAACAGCTTCATATCACATCATACTGCAGGAGCTCTTCCCCCTTTTGCTAAACTGACTTTGTTAATTTTGTGACAAAATCCCGTTTTCGAGGCATGAGAACTGTCCAGAGAGCTTACCATTCCTTCTTTGTTACTTCAGAACACTGTAGGCAATTCTGTACATCCTTATTCTTCTGCCTTTACAACCTTCACAGGCTGTAACTACAAGCATTGCCTCTCCACATTGATACTGTTTTGTAAGTCACTGAATCTTCATGCAGTAATCAAATAACTTCAGGTGTGCCGACACTGGTCAGTATCCTGTGCTGCTTTTCCCCATTATTTAGTTTCCTTAATTCATCAACAAAGGCAAATAAATAAAGGAAAGTAGATGCTTTCTTATGTTTTCCCTCAGAGAGAGAAAAAGTTCTAAAGTTTAACTCATTTTTTTACAAGAAGACAAAAAGGTTTATTTAAAGTAATCTACTTGAGCATGAAGCAGACCTTACGGTACACCCTCTTGCCTTCAAAAGATATCATCAGTCTGTCATTTTAAGATAGACCACTGCAGTAGGCAGGCTTCCTGTATAAGACACGGAAGTCCCTTCCACCTGTAATGGGTAAGTGGAATACACAACTGCCATTTTCAGACCATTATAGCTAAAAAAGCAGAGGCTATGAAGTCACATAAACACATCAGATAATTAGCAGGTGGAGCCCTTCCCCATATGGTTGCCTGCATTTACTCAAAGAAATCCTTGAATAAGAGAAATAGATCCCATCTCCAAAGCTCAGAGATCCTGAAAAGAAATTGGGGTACTCTTTTCTGTTGCACAGACAAAATTAAGACTCACAGAATTGTCTAGGTTGGAAAAGACCTTTAAGATCATCATGTCCAACCATTAACCCAGCAATGTCAGGTCCGCCGTGTCCCTAAGCACCGCATCTACACATCTTTTAATAATATCTCCAGGGATGGTGACTCAACCACTTCACTGTGCAGGCTGTTCCAGTGCTTAACAACCCTTTCAGCGAAGACATTTTTCCTAATGCCCAATCTAAACCTTCCGTGGTGCAACCTGAGGCCACTTCTCCTCTTGTCCTGTCATTTGTTACTTGGGAGAAGAAACCAAGCCCAATCTCACTACAACCTCCTTCCAAGTATTTGTAGAGAACAAGGTCTCCCCTCAACCTCATTTTCTCCAGGCTAAACCACCTAGCTCCCTCAGCTGCTCTTCTTGAGACCCTTCACCAGCTTTTTTGCCTTTCTCTGGACATGCTCCAGTAACTCAGTGTCTTTATTGTAGTGAGGGGCCCAAAACTGAACACAAGATTTGAGGTGCAGCCTCACCAGTGCCAAGTACAGGGGCATAACCACTGCCCTGGTCCTGCTGGCCATATTATTTTTGATACAAGCCAGGATGCCCTTGGCGTTCTTGGCCACCCGGGCACACTGCTGGCTCATGTTCAGCTGACTGTCACCCAACATCCCCAGGTCCTCTTCCTCCAGGCAGCCTTCCAGTCACTCTTACCCAAGCCTGCAGTGTTGCATGGGGTTGTTCTTATCTGGCACTTGGCCTTGTTAAACCTCACATAACTGGCCTTGGCCCATCGATCCAGCCTGTCCAGATCCCCATGAAGAGCCTTCCTACCCTCAAGCAGATCACTCCCACCCAGCTTCTTGTCATCTGCAAACTTAGCGAGGGTGCACTTGATCCCCTCATCTGGATGATTAAGACATGAAACAGAACTGCCCCAATACTAAGCCCTGGGGAACACCACTTGTGACCAGCTGCCAACAGGATTTCACTCCATTCACCACCACTCTTTAGGCCCAGCCATCCAGACAGATTTTCACCGAGCAAAGAGGAGCAAAGAGTACGCCTGTCCGAGTCGTAAGCAGCCAGTTTCTCCAGGGGAATGCTGTGGGAAATGGTGTCCAAGGCTTCACTGAAGCCTAAGCAGACAACTTCTACAACCTTTCCCTCATCCACTAAGCGGATCACTTTGTTGTAGCAGGTCACGTTAGTCAAGTAGGACCTGCCTTTCATAAATTAGATCGTGAGCTGCCGATAACATACCATCATACCATAGATTATTTTCTGGTGGTGTCGCAACCAGAAGCGAAGACCAGAAGACCACCAAGGAAGAAGTGTTAAGACACAATAGCTCTGCAGTCATATAAAGTGAATGAATAAATAATTTTGAGATTAAACCACAGATACTGTCTGTCACTAGACACAACGACAGGCAGATATACCTCCTTGAAGTGTATCAGAGACAAGCCATCTATTTTCTGGTTCTCCTCCAGCTAGAGAGAACAGCTTCTCTGTATTGATCCAACTGAAGCAGGCTCACACAGAAAATGGGTAAAATCCTATCTTTTTAGAAACCAAAGACAGCACAAAACAATAACTTTAACGCTGGCCACAGTGATGAATCTTACTGATGCCTTAGATCATCTGGATGAACTATCGTATCTACTAATAGGTAACACAGCACTAACCAAGTACTGGAGGAAAAGCTTCCAAGCAGCTACATGTCTTAGATTTATGCACGGGGAGAACATCAGAGTTAATAGCTATATATATATATCCATTCCTAGAAGTAGGATTTGAGCCTGGTATAGCCTGCAAGAATTATCCTCATGCCAGTCCATTGCCAGGTGCACCTCTAATCACATAAACTGTTTTAACGCTGCATCAGAATATGCAGCAGCAGAGACCATAACAACACAGATTAATGTCGCATTAACTTTTTGCCCTGTAAGTACAGCAAAGAAATAGCATTCTTTGGAGAATGAGGAAAAACATTAATACCAACATTTGGCAGGTGACACTGAAATTCATTTAGGAAGTAAGTCAGGTTTATCCACTTTCCCTTAAAAATTTTGAATAGCTTAACAAACATTGCTAAAGTTTCTTTTTCCCTTTCTCTCTAGCCTCTTCTATATTCACTAGATTCTTCTAGTAGGAGTTGATTTTTTAATCACTTATTAATGTAACTTCCATGAGACTCAGTAATTCAAGTTTCTGTTCCTACTTTTTATACATAATTTTGAGAATAAATTAGTAACATGCTTGCTTGTAATTAAGCTGGAAAATATTTTTTTCTCCCCAGAAGAGGAAGGAAATCTTTCTAGAAGCTTCAAAACCTCTTGAAGACTGGTTGTTTACATGAAATCAGAGGCTTTTTAAATATCAGCTGGAAAGTAATTTTCCTGAAACACGCTGCCAGCTATAATTCAGGCACCGGAACTTTCTTAACTCTCCTGGCAAGACAGATGGTGCACATGAGCACTCCATTTATTCCTAGCATCACAGAGACCAGGTTTCAGGAAATACTCAGACAAGCTGTGTTTCTTCCCAGTAAATTCTCAAATTCTAATTGTAATTAGAGCTTCATGGAAAGCAGAAAAGTCACTAAAGATTATGGATACACGTATCTTGAGCACCTTTAAACCGAATTAACTACACTTTGTAGCTTGAGCGACTTCTCTGTATTTCTACTTATGAATTTAGGTAGTAAATTTATGAAAGTTGGAGACACTTCTACAAGCCACAATGGAAGGTCAGAAGGATGGACGGAAAGGCATATCTATTAAAGTGCAAATGATATCACAGAGGTATTCCGTAAAAATTGGAAATACAAGAGTCAGGATGCATCTTTCAAAATAAGTAGTCTCATTAAACACAGACTCCTTGGTCTTCTGTCTGAATAGTATAAAGGTTGTTACTTTTTTTTCTATGGATGTAACAACTAGGAAACAAAAGAAGACAAAAAATCTGGGAGTAGTTTTGGAGGAAGCCTGAGGCTCAGGAATAATTCATTTCTGTGGAATACAAAGACAATCTATACAGGGTTACAGCTGCAATTATAACACAAATCTGATGCTATTAAATGGATGTTTTCCTAATAAATGAAAAACATTCTATTGGAAGTCCAAGAAGACCCTTCCCCATAACTGCAAAAGAGCTAAATTTAATACCCTGGTTTGGCATTAAAGTTTAACAGAGAACAAGCATTATTAACTTCTTTTAAAACAAGATGTCCTCTGCCAAGGTCATCTTCTAATGGTAGTGGCTTTTCACTCTTGAACTGATTATTTACTATTTGCTTCCAAGACAGGTCTTAAAGTAAATTCTTCCATACAGATTAAATACAAGGAATAAGTTGTCATACATCCAGATCAAAAAAAAAATTGAAATTTAGAAGTGAAGTATTTTTCCTACCATCCTCCCCCAGTTATTATACACTCTGAAAAGTAATCAAAATAGGACAGTTCCACAATCATTAGGAATCTATTACTTTTGCTATGAAATGGGACCACTAGGATTTAGATAACATATACTGCTGCAACTCTTAAGAGTGTAGGAACTGCCATAATCTGGTTCAAACTTCCTCAATGTGTGAGCCACTGCTGATCTTGAATAGCTCTGGATTAGAGATGAAATAAAATACACTATTTTTTGTTTTTTTAAAATAGAAGTTCTACATGGCTTACAGGTATTCTTTATGGAATTCCATTGATCCCCAGCTGTCTACTGCTATAGTAAGCA